GATGTTGTAATCAGACTTGACATTAGCACCAAGTATGTCTAAAATGTAAATTGTAAATGCTCTTTTAATGAAGTGGACCCTACTTCCCCTTTATTATAAAAAAAATGAAAGAATATGTTAAAGATTGACCACTTACTAAAATAACTTCTAAGATTTAACATACAATATGAAGGCTTTTCCCTTGCCAAGCAACAATATATTTCTTGTCTACTATAATCCATGTCTAGCTCATTTGCACGTTTTCATACCTCCTAGCATCATAACATATATTATGTTCAGAGAACATAGGATGAATGAATAAGCTATATACAAAGAAACTATGAAGAACTGTAACAGCCCAGTAATTTTAAAATGATTTCTCTGAAACTGTGGGCACCCAAGCTAAACACACTACTCTAACTCAGGTAAGCTTATCACAAATATTTCATATATGTAACACACATTACTCTTATGTGTTTATGAACTAGAAGCTCAGTTGATGGCCTTACAAGAGACTATTTTCCATTAACTAAAAAGCATATGCTATATTCCAGAGTAAATGTGACTACAAACTAAACATCTCCCTCTCCAACATCTCTCTCTCTCCAACGTATCTCTAACATATTTCTACCACATCTATATCTAAATGAGGGTTACCCCCAAAGCAGTCACCTTGGGAGACCATACCTTATTAGGCTAGACAATGATTATGAGTTCTTTGCTGAAATTATATGAGCTGCGATGTTCTGAAGAAACCCAAAAAGTACAAAAATCACTATTATGAACACTTTTTGAAATCCTTTTAGAAGTTTTCAGAATCGATTAAGATAAACAAAAATGCCTTATTTTTAACTAAAACAGCATTGCTCACTAACAAATCACATACTTTATTCATCAGATTTGGCTTCAAATGACCTGTAAAAATTCTAACACTAAATGTACTCTCAAGATACGAAGCTCTGCCACTACTGAAAACACTGAAAATGATTTACCAACATCTTCAAAAGAAATAATCCAAAAACAATACTCGAAGGCCAAATTACTGGAAAGAAAGTTTATTCCACAAAAATTGCTTTGTTGAAGAAGACACTCATGGAATGTATGCATTCAAAACCTATTTCTTTAAAAAGCCACTGTATCTACAGGGACAGTTTAATTGCTTTCCATGATACTAATTTAATTGTATTACGCAAACATGTATCCATGATTTAATTAATTGTTCTGAGTTTAAGGGAATGACATCATTTCTCAGCAGGTTTCATTCTTTGAATAAAAAGCAAGCACAATATTTTATATGTTATGAACCACCTATTTCCTCAAAATAATGAGGGTCTGAAAGAGGTAATGAACAAGCCCTAACTGGAATAATTATATTCCTGGTATCACAGTTAAAAGCAGCAATTTCAAGTATATACCCCACATAATCTTTCTTCCCCAAACAGTAAAAATATCTACGATTGGTAACTGAGAGCTAATTTTGAATTTCTCTGTATATTGTTTTCAATCTCTGTGTACATTATGATCTATATTTTATACCTATTTTAATCAAGTATACAATTAAATATTTTAGGCCTATGTTTGATTAATAAAACATTATAAGTTATTAACCAATATAATTTTTATAAAATCCCATTATTTCACAATAATGAAAGAGATTACTGGCATAGGTAATCCAGGAATCATTCATATCCTGTATCAAATCTAAATATAATATCTATAGATTTCCTTCTTAAATGTTTTACAGAGCTAATATTGGTCATATTTCCTGGGCCTACAGCACCTAAACAAGTGAAGAAAGTGGTCCTTTAATCTGCTGCATACAAACCATACTAGAATTAAAAACTGAAGATGTGTTTCTAAAGTGGGGACAATCACATCGACAAGGTAAAGAGACAATCATCCAAATGGGAGAATATATTTGCAAGCAATACCTTCGATAAGGCCCTTTTAACCAAAATATACAAAGAACTCATACAATTCAATAACAATAAAAAAACAAACCACCCAATTAAAAAATGGGCAGAGGACCTGAAAAGATACTTCTCCCAAAAACATACAATTGGCCAACAAACATATGAAAGGATGCTCAACATTGCTAGCTATTAGGAAAATGCAAATCAAAACCACAATGAGATACCATCTCACACCTGTTAGAATAGCTATTATCAACAGGACTAGTGTTAGAGAGGATGCAGAGGAAAAGGAACCCTCATACACTGCTGGTAGGACTGCAAATTGGTAGAGTCATTATGAAAAACAGTAAGGAGTTTCCTCGAAAAACTAAGAATTGATCTACCATATGATCCAGCCATCCCTCTACTAGGTATTTACCTCAAAGACTTGAAAACATACATCCAAAAAGATATTTGCATACCGATGTTCATAGCAGCATTATTCACGGTGGCCACAACATGGAAGCAACTGAAGTGTCCAACGATAGATGATTGGCTAAAGAAGCTATGGTACATATATACAATGGAATATTACTCAGCCATAAGAAGAGATGAAATACTGCTATTTGCGACCTTGAGATGGACCTTGAGATAATTATGCTAAGGGAAATAAGCCGGACAGAAAAAGTTGAAAACTACATGATATCACTTATTCTGTGGGCTATAAAACGAAAAGCAACAAATAAGCAGGGCAAACAGAGACTCACGGACACGGACAACAGACTAGTGGTTACCAGAGTTGGAGTTGGGGGGCGATAAAAGGGGTCAAATATGTGGGGACAGAAAGAAATCGAACTACGCACAGTGAACATATAATGCAATATATATATGCCTTACTGTTAAATTGTACACCTGAAACACTAGATTTCATTAACCAACGGCACAATAAAAAAAAAATTAATTAATAAAGTGGGGACAATCAACAGCATATAAAAGTAATAAACAAAAACAAGTAATATATGTATATAAAATATACATTGAGATAAATTAATTTCATATTCAAAGGAATGCCTCCTTAATTCTCCCTTTCTACTTTCCCAAATAGGAAGCCAAAAGTAGGTGTACATAACAAAAGTGTATATAATATTCTTGTTAAACACAACAAGACTGTTATTTTACATAGACGACTACTGTTATAATACCAAACACAAACTGCTAATTTTGTCTAAAATTTATATTAAAATGTGTTAGATAATTAATAGCACCTAAGAAAGTCATCTCTGATATTTTTAATGTTTTGGGAAATTATCTTAAAGGCTATTTTCTTAATACTCAAACTGCACCATCAGAATGTGTTAAGGCAAAGCCAAGGTAAAGTATGCCAAAAATTCCTAATGAATAGAGATGTGCATATTTTGAGTATTTTTTCCTAAAGAACAAAAGTATTAACAATGATCTGCTGTCTAAAAAATAAGTTATCAAAAACACATAGTTAATGACATATGATCATTTAGCTGCTGAAGAAAACAATACTATAGAGTATGTTCCCAATTCTCACAAGCTATCTTGAAGCTAGGACTTGCCCATTACACATACACAGGCAACGTCAAGCTATAGAATAGTGGTTAAGAGCAGTATTTTGGAGTGACAGAGAATTCACTGCCCGTGCCACTTAAGGTAAGACACAACCTCTCCACTCTCACTTGCAATGGCAGTGATGCCACTGTTTTCTCATAACACTAGAACTAAGCAAGATGACATATATGAAGCACTGTCACAAAGCATTCAAATTATGGAGCCATTTAATAATATACATACAGCTAGATACAGTAACAAATATAAATGTGTGTACGTGCCCGTTAATATACTTATTTCCTAGCTCAGTCCATCGAGATGACCTAGAACCACTGACACTTCCCAATGGTAATGGGCATACCCAGTGTCCAGATCTCTGATCTGATTCTAAACACCATTCTTCTAATGAAGGGGATCAGGGCTCCCTGGAAAGTGGTCACTTCCAAGGCTGGGGAAGGGAAAATGTAAGACTAGAATATCTTGTGGTGCCAGAAAGTAAGGAAGTACTCAAAAAAGAATAGGGGCATATTGAGAAGACATGGGAGCCAGACTGAATGAATGAGGTCCTATGGCCAAGTTTAGAACAATGAGCAGCAGAATAAATAATATTATCAGACTACAACCCATAGAATAAAAAAATAGCCATGAGTCCATACTGATATAAATAAGTCAATGAGGAAGAAAGGATAGCTCTTCTTTACACAAGATTCCAATTAATAAATGTGGAAGAAACAACAAAATAAAAAATGACCACTAAGCAAACAATGCAGTAATAACTGTTGCAGACAGGATCCAATGGCAGATACTAAAATAAGTAGACAAAAAGGTTGAGGAGAAACAGGATATTTATTCATTACAATGAGAAAAAATATTAACTTTAGTGTGGAGAAATCTGGTAGACAAGGGTTAGTGCGCTAGTAGTAAGACATCCTGACATCATGAAACCCCTGATATGAGGCTCTGAGAAGGATATAATATCATTTCTGTGCTCTTCTTGCCAAAAATGCATACATAACCTTATTCTACTCATGAGAAAACATCAGACAAACCCAAGTTGAGAGACATTCTACAAAATAACGAATCGGTTTTCTTCAGCAGTTCAAGGTCATAAAAGACAAGAAAACACTGAGGTATTGTCACAGATTGAAAGAGACTAAGGAGATACTACAAATAAATGAAAGGTGAGATCCTAGATTGTATCCTGGAACAGAAAAAGAACCTAAATGGGAAAAATGGCAAAATTCAAAAAAGATCTGTAGTTTAGATAACACTGTTGCATTAATGTTAATTTCCTAGCTTGTTAATTATACTATAATTATGTAAGATGTTAATATTAAGGGAGGTTTGTAAAGGACATATGCAAACACTGTAATTTTATTACTTTTTTGTAACTCAAAGTGTTTCAAAATAGCTGTTTTTTTATATGATATCCATAGTTACATAGGCAATGTATAATAGCTTTTTGTTTTGCCTTAAAATACCCTTGAATTGCTGAAGCTATAAGACATATCTCTAAAAAACTCAGCTCAATAAATACATTACAAATCTAATTACCTGTAATTTTATATCCAAAGGCAGCTAGTTGTCCAGCCATATATTCTCCATCTGAATTATTATGAGAACAACCCCATGTTCGTATCCAAATTTTCTGTATGCCTGGAATAGTGCTATTAAACAATCAATAAAAAAATTTTAAAAAGTAAGTCTCATTAAAGGATTTAAAAAAAAAGTACTAGATGATTTCTGGGCAAATTATGCAAAAAAAAAAAAATACACTCACTGCAACCCATTCACAAGCTATTCATTAAATGCACCAAGTTAATCCATAATCTATTGTTACACCAAAAGTCTAAAATCAAAAGAAAATAACCACAGGATTCTAATGTAAAGCTCTCTACATAAAAATATCTTTTTCTCTGAATTGGATTTTAGAGAAATACAAATTCAGTACTACTAATGTACTGCCAAGTTCAACTCTTAGAAAGGTACATATAACAGCAAAGAAAATGGATCCAGTAACAACAGCAAATGAAAAAAAAAGTAAATACATCTATTTGCTCATAAAGAGACGATATAGTACCTACAATCTTTATTTTATAACTTACTGATATAAATAACTGAATCAAAATGGAAAAACTGTCACCCTATGGCATTCATAAAAGTACTTCATATATAAATATAGAGTTCTAAAAATATAATCATTTTAGGAAGGAAAAACTTAGATTGCCTTGATAATTTATAATTAAACAGAAATTATCTTAAGGACATGTTCAAGACAAATTTGATAAACAAAATATAAGCAAATTTTAAGTTCATAGCTTTTAAAAGCTTAATATTACAAATGAAATCAAGTATTATATTAAAATGTTTGACAATTTACTAGATAAATAAATGTTGACATATTAAAACTATACAACGGCATAATCATTTCTGGCTAGGCCATGTTAGAATTTCACTGGAGACCTAACATAACAGTGTAAACAGCACAATAATTTATTTGTGCCCAATGCCTTTACCTGATGCATAAGTATTTATAAATTTGCTAAGAAAAATTAAATGCCTCAACCACTACTGTCTCATAAGAACCACAAATTCTGGTTAAAAAAAATTTAATTCGGAAGTCACAAAAATTACATACTAACTACAGTAATATCAAAGAGATGGGGAGGTGTGGAGTAATATCTTTATACTAAATAATGTCCTAGGCCTCACCTTCAAGGAACACATGATTTGACACTTCTTTAACCAATCACTTCACCAAATTAAAAAACATGCTAATAAAAAAATAAATCTACATATTTCATCTCAAAATTTCAGAGGTTTTTTTTAAGAGACATTTTACATATCACAAAGACCAGTATTACCAGCTTCTCCCCTGAAACAATACCAAATATAATTTCAAAAAAATAGCTTACCTATCGCTTGGTGGACTGTTTTCCTCTTGCAAATATTTTTGGGTATGTCGCCTTCGCACCTTTGGAACAACGTGCTTTCTTGCAAAATGTCTATCTTGTGGTTTTGAATCTTCCTGTGACACGATATCTTCTATGTCATCCAGTAGCGTACCACAGGATGCAGAAAGCATCTTCTCCATCACATAAAAAGGTTATAAATGATATGAGTCCCTCAGAAAATCTGTTTAACATAGCATCACTTATTAAATATCCTTTCTTAACTTGAATCCAATAAAGCCTTTAGATTCAACTTTAAGTTTACAGAAAATGCAGAGATAAAGAAACACAAGGAAACAATCAGACAAATCCTATTGATAGTGGGACATTCCAAGGTTCAAATGGAAGGAACTATGTCTTCAACAAATCAATATCATGAAGAAAAAAGCAGGAGAGGAACTGTTCAAGATCAAAGGAGACTTAAAAGCCTAACAATTAAACGCAATTCATGCTCTTGTTCAGATCCTACAAATTTTGGGAACAACCAGGGAAACCAGAAGGTGAACTTGGTATCATTAATATCAGGATATTGCTATAAATCATTAGATATAAAGTATCATGTTTATGTTTAAAAATCTTATTTTTTGACACTAAATACATTATTTTTATATATTATAAAAAAATTTATTTTTTAGAGATGTACACTGATATTTGGAGGTGAAATGTCATTATGTCTATAATTTGCCAAAACAAACATGAGATTAAGACATATGGGAAAACATTTACAACTCTTAAATCTAGAAAACAGAAATGTTGGTGCTCATATCCTATTCTACTTTCTCGAATGTTCAAAATTTTTGTAATTAAGAAAATATAGACATAACTTCCAGGAAGACAGAATAGACATAATTTTCCCTATCCCTCCCGCTAAGTACAACTAAAACTCTGGATATAATATATAAAATAAACATAAGACTTTGAAAAGCAGAGAGAAGAAGGCAGATAGGCTAGGGACATTGGAACCCAAGGAACAATGCAATGGTAAATTCTCTGGGGTTTCTTTTGCCTCCTATATCCCAGACTTGGGGTTGAAGAAGCCAGTGACCCAGAAGTGCCAACATATGCAAGTAATAAAAGCCTCCAACTAAAGCCTGTTTTCTTGTCAAAGAACCAGAAAAGTAGCAAGACAGAAAACTTTCAGACTATAACCATTCTACTAAAAAAAACCCCACAAAACACAAAACCATGGTCTCACCTCCAGACAAGCCACAAAGGCCAAGTAGGGAGACCTGATTGCTCCCCTACAAGGCTACAATAAGGTGCCCCAACACACCTCACCAGGGTAGGACCAGAGAAAGCCAAGTAGGGATCTTTTATTTTCAAACCAAACAAACAACAGGTAATGAAGCCATACTCCCATCCTGCAGTGTCAGTGAAACGTTTTTGTAGACATAGTGAGATTGTTCTAAAATTTACATGGAAAAGTAAAGAAATTAATATATTTAAAACAACTGGTAAAAAACAAAAAGAATGAAGTAGAAGGAATTGGCCTGCCCCATTTTAAGACATACTGTATAGCTACAGTAATCAAGACTGTATAGTATTGGTAGAACACAAACATAGATTGACAAAACAGAACAGAGAATCTGGAAATAGACCCAAACAAATATGGTTTTTCACAAAAGTGCAAAAGCAATTGAATGAATGAGGAAAGAACCTTTTCAACAATTAGTACTAGAGCAATTGAATACTTACAGACAAAAAAAAGACACAAAATTCAAACTATATCATGGACTTAAATATAAAGTGTAAAACTATAAAAGTTTAGAAAAATTCATAAGAGAAAATCTTCTAGACCCAGAGCTAGATGAAGAGTCCTTAGAGGTTGACACCAAAGGCACAATTCATAAAAAGAAAAATTATTCAATCCAGACATCATAAAAATTTAAAAATTTATCCTCTGCAAAAGACCTCTTTGAGAGAATGAAAAGTCAAGCTACAGAATAGAAGAAAATATTTGCGAACCACACATCTGACAAAGGAGCAGTATGTAGAACTCAAAACGCAATATTAAAAGCACAATCTAATTAGAAAATAGACAAAGGACATAAAGAGACATTTCACCTAAGAGGATATACAGAGGACAAATAAACACATGAAAAGAGATTCAACATTATTAGCCATCAGAGAAATACAAACTAAAACTATAATGAAATACCACACCACTATCAGAATAGCTAAAATTAAAAAATAGTGAAAACACTGAATGCTGGCAAGAATGCAGAATAAGTGGATCACTCACACAGTCCTGGTAGAAATATAAAATAGTATAGGTGCTCTGGAAAAAAGTTGGGCATTTTCTTTAAAAAACTAGTCATGCAACTATAATGCAGCCTGGCAACTGTATTTCGAGGCGGGGCGGGGCAGTGGGAGGCCAGGGGGGATTATCCAAGAAAAATAAAGACTTATAATCACAGAAAAATCTGAACACAAATGTTTATAGCAGCTTTCTTTGTAATAGCCAAAACATGGAAATAACCCAGATACCCTCAATGGGTTGAACGGTTAAACAAACTGTGGTTCATCCATACCATAGATTACTACCCAGCAATTAGAAATAATGTATTATTGATACATGCAACAACCTGGATGAATCTCCAGAGAACTGTGAAGAATAAATACAGCCAAACCCAAAAGGTAACATACTGTATGATTACATTTATATAGCACACTTGAGATTAAAGTAACAAAATTATAGAAATGGAGAACAGAATAGTAGTTGCCCAGATTGAAAGAGAGGATGAGTGGGAGGAAAGTAAACATGACTATAAAAGGACAACATGAGAGATCTTTGTGGTGATGGAAATGTTCCTATATCTTGACTATATCAATGTCAATATACAGGTTGTGATACTATATTACAGTTTTGTAAGATCGGTAAAGTGTACAGCATCTATATATAACTTTTATAAATGTAAATGAATCTACAATTATGTTAGAATAAGATACTGAAAGAAAAAAACTTTCTGAAGAAAGAAAATGAAAACAGACAATGAGTACACTTCCTGGTAGTGCTATTAATACTATGTCCAGACAAGAAGCAAGTGCTCACAGAGTCATCCCATTAACCATTCACAGCAACTCCCTGAGGCAGGTGGTATTATTAGCCTCACTTTAAAGTGCAATCTGAAACAGAGAAGCTAACTTACCCAAAGCCGCACAACAAGGATTCCAAGTCAGATTAGCCCAAGCACTCATGCTGTGTGGTATCCCACTGCCTACTTACTGTATGTACACTGAGTGACCACTGTTCCTCATCTGTGTTAAGGATCCTATACTCTCCTCTGGTCTCAAGCCTTTCTAATCAATTTTCCTTTTCAAATGCCAGATTCGCATTTCTCCATTAACAACTTTTGACTAACAATGGCTTCCAGCCAGACTCATTATGTACCCTTTACTGTAATGTACTCTTTACAACTATGACAGATTATGCCCTGTAAATCAGACAAACCTCTGTTCAAATCTCAGCTGGCTTTACATTCTTAGTAGGAGCAAAAGATTAGAAATAACCCAATGGCAATCAATCAAGATCTGGCTAACTTATAGTTAACATGCATACGACATGGGCACTGCGGAACTATCCATCACAGTCCTCCTCCTTCCTTAGACACAGGAATGGGGCACATGAGCCAGGCCTATCAGAGTAACCCATCTTCCTGGCCACACTGATTAGTGTGTGATTAGTTCAGGGTTGGATATGACAAGCCCAGCTAATCAGAATCATCACAAGGACTTCTATGCCAAAGCTAACAGAAGAGATGGCTTCTCTTTTCACTGAAGTGGTTATGTTGGGAGGATGTCAACTTGAGAATGCTGGAGATCATCTGCCAGTCACAGTGCAGAAGCATACCTAAAGAATGAAACCTAGTAAAAGGTGGAGAGATAAAGAGCCATATATGACATTATCTGAGCACGTGGATCCAACTAACGCCTGAAGCCAGATGCTGCCCCACTCTGCCCAATCATGTGGGCCAATAAATTTCCTCTGTGACTTAAATTAATTTGAGTTAGATTTTCTCTCTTGCAAACAAGAGTCCTGAACAACTCAGCAAACTAGGTAAGGTGAAATAAACTAAGTCTTTCTCAAATTGGTTCTATTTATTTGAGATACTAACTATCAGTGAAAAAACAGTTCTGTGGTCAAATATATTTAGGAAATTCTGCCTCCTCACAGATTCCCAGTACACACTGGTAGACCAAAGACTATGAATAACTGCAGTATAAAACTTAAACTTATGTATCTTAGGAATTTTCTGAAAATTTATTTCTCACATATCTCCTCTTAATGAGGCTAAAGATGGTACTGAAAGCAGAAAACTTGAATGAAGCCAGTCACAGAACCCCTCCCACACTCTGCACAGGTGGATGACTTCCTTCATTTACCAGAAAATGGTTCTTTGCTCATGTACTCAGCCTAACTATGTGTTATTATAACTGTCCACCTCCCTAAGAAAAAGCCTTCAACTCTGACCCACTCAAGCAAAGAATTCTAGTCATGCCCCATTTTCCTGCATCATCACTAATTATCTCCCTACTGAATCATTACTATCTGGATACAAACATACTATTATTTCTCCCATTTAAAAAACAAAAACCTTACCTTGACCCCACTTCCTCCACTTACTATCTCTATCACATTTCTCTCCTTTAAAGAAAACCTCCTTGCAAAAGCTATCTATACTTTCTTTTTATTATTATGATTATTATTATTATTTATGCCTATAGCACCTGGTCTTCCTAGGTGGTCTCCCATCCAAGTACTAACCAGGCCCGATCCTGCTTAGCTTCCAAGATCAGACAGACATCAGGCTTGTTCAGGGTAGCATGGCTGTAGACCATGGACCGTGGCTCCACTGGGGCGCGAACCCAAGACCTTCTGCGTGTAAAGCAGACCTGCTAACCACTACACTATGGAACCACGTCCGAGCTAGCTATACTTCAATATCAAATTTTCCCTTCCCATTCTCTCATGAACCAAGTTTTCACCCCACCACTCCACCAGACTTTATCATCATGATTTCAGTGACTTCCAACGATATATACAATGATCAGTTCTCAGTCATCTTATATGACCCCACATGCAGCAATTGACACTATTAACCTTCACTGGCTTCTAGGACACCACACTCTCTGAGTTTTCCTTCTACCACATTAGCAACTCCCCAAGTCTCCTCTGCTTCTTCCTCCTCATCTCTCCAACTTCTGAACATTAGAATGGCCCCATGGCTCAGTTACAGGACATCTCCTTTAGTTACAGACATACCTTGATCTCATCCAGTCCCATGTCCTTGAAATATCAACTATATGCTTATTTAACCAGCCCTAGTCCTCCCCTGAACTTGACTCTCATGTCCAACTGCCTACTCAACACCCCTGCTTAAATGTCTAAGAGTTATTTCAAACTTAAAAAGTCAAAAAGAGAACTCTTGAGCCTCTCTCCACCTTATCCCACAAACAACCACCAAATACCACACCAGATCTTTCCATAACTTTCCGATCTCATTTAAAGGCAATGCCAACCTTCTACCTGGTCAGGCCAAAATCCTGGAATCATCCCCAAGTCATCTTTCTTTTACCCTAACTCAATCCAACAAAATCCTATTGGCTCTATCTTCAAAATATATTCAGAATCTGAGTATTTCTGACCATATCCACTGTTACATTCTTGGTTCAAACCAACATCAACTCTTGCTTAGATTATTAGCAGTTAGTCTCCCTGTTTCTACCCTTAATTCCCGAAGGACATTTCAGCACAGACGCCAGGGATCCCTTTAAAACCAGAGTTCATCTCAAGAAATTAGTATGTTATGCTGAACTAACTTGACGAGAGTAACCATCCATAGAGCTTGTTTTCCAAAAAAAAAAGTACTGTTTAGAGTAGCAAAATTATAAGCCTACCTAGGTATGTTGAAAAGCCCTTTGAGTAAGTTTTGTGAATGGAAATGTAGTGCTCAAGTCACATTCTGCTTTAAAAGGTTGTTACAAATACAGATGAATTAAAAAAAAAAAAAAAAACTTTGTCTTCCACTTCAAAATAAAAACCCAAAATCACTACAAAGATCTATAAGGACATATATAATCAGCTTTCCTTTTATCTCTCTAACTCTCCCCTTTACTCTACTCAGGTACACGGGCTTCCTTACCAGTTCATATCTACCAAGTACACACTCATCTCAAGGTGTTATTTTTGCCTAGAATGCCTTCAAGCCCTTCAGGACTTTGCCTAAATGTCACCAGCAAGGTCTTTCTGAGCAAATCTCACCTCACCAAATATACCACACTTCCTATCCCCATTCCCTACCTTGTTTTCTTACCATGGCACTCATCACCTGTTTAGATGTTTTCATTATGTTACTGTTATCTCTTTCTACTAGAATACACTCTGTGAGAGTAAAGGTTTTTATGTGCTTTGTTCACTGTTTTATCCCAGGTGGCACCTAGAACTACGTCTAGCGCATTGCATGTTCTCAATAAATATTTTTTACTATACACTACCCAGCCTGTACCAACTATATTAACCTGTTAGATATTCTCTGAGTATGCCAAACTAGCTTCTGACTTCACTTCACAATTGCTATTCCTCTGCATAGAATGTCACCCCCAAGATATCTGTATGGCTTGATGCCTACTTATCTAATCAAATGACACTTCCTCAGAGAGGCCTTTCCTAACGACCATGTCTAAAATAACCACACACTGACCAAGCACCCCCACACACTCTCACTAACCTCTAACCCTGTTTTATACGTCATTTTTCTTCATAGCACTTACTTACCTGACACCATCTAACTGCGTCTTTCTTTCTCATTACGGTGTAAAGCCCACAAGGACAAAGACATCTTTTTCACTATTACATCTACACCTACACATAAACAATGCGTAGCACACAACAGGTACACACTATTTGTTGACTGACTGAATAAATTCACAAAATTCTTGTTTAAACTGAATTTAGCTAATCTCCCTCTAACACAGGAAGAAATTCTTACACTGGATGGAAAGTTGAAGTAAATACCTAATCCCTAGCATTTCTTCTATCACTATTATTCTATGAAATAATTAAGATAAGTGAGAAAGGCTAAGACCAGATAGTGCCTTTGAATGTTACTAAAGAGCTACTGAAGAACTTTGAATTGAATCACATAAATAACAGAAGGAAAATAGAATGGAAGAAGAGAGTTGAGAGGGGTCCACTGCAGTAGACATACAATATCACAAAGTCAGAAAAGTAGGGAACATTGCTTAGCCTCTTATTTCACATTACTGAAGCCCACAGAAGCTAAAACATTTGTACACTGGTAGAGCTAGAATTAGAACCTATGCCTTCTATCAACACCAAGCTCTCCCACTCTGGCTCTGCCTCATTGGCAAAACACAAACAATCCAAGAGTCTAATGGGACCCTAAGATATAAACACATTCCAGAAAAAAAATGGGCAAAGGAAACATAGGCAACTCACTTAAGAAATGCAAATAGCTAATAAGCATAGAAAAGAATATTCCAACACACTAATAGCAAGTATTTAAACATGAATTATTTTTCATCTACCACACTAATAAAGACTGACAAAAACCCCACTCTTCATTGAAAGCATGATAAATCTGGCATACCCTTTCCGGAGGGCAATCTGGCAGTACATATCAAACTTTAAAATATATATATCCCTTGACCCAGCAACTCCGTTTGTAGAAATTCACTCAAAGGAGACAAAGATAATATAATGCAAAGATTCCCTAAACCCAGCATCAATCATATCATAGCATCTGAACAATCTCATTCATCACTACTAATAAAAGTTTTTACTTCCAACAATCAGGTAGAGGGAATTTTTAAATAAATAAGTAATGAGGAAATGGAAGTTTGACAACAAAATGAAAGCAAAATAAGTTAAATAGAACAACAGGATCATATAAAGTTTTTTCTCAAAAGTAGAAGAAATCCAGAAGATTTTAAGGAAATAAAATCAAAGTTAGTGGAAAGGGAGATACTGAAAATGACAAAAGAGAGAATGCAACATCCTAGAGTACTGGTAACTTAGATAGGTGATTTATTAGGAGAGCTTTTATAAAATCAAATACCCAGGTCTCATTCTGAATTAGAATCTCCAAGAGTAGAATGTAGGGATGAGAATGTAAAACCTGCCCAGCTGACTCCACTAAACACCCTGACTGAGAACTACTGTTGCAGCAGAGGTTCTCAGTCTTGAGTGTTTATTGTACTCACAAGACGAGCTTTTGAAAATTCCAAACTAAGCCCCGGAACAGTTCAATCAATCTCTGGGAACAAAGATTGAGCATCAATAGATTTTAAAACTTTCCAGTAATTCTCATGTGTGTAGCCACAGTTGTGAAACAAAGATCAATAACAGTAGTTTTCACAGGGTGGTTCCCAAACCAGCACAATTAGAATCACTGGAGAACATGTTAGAAATGAAGGCTCAGGCCCCGCTCTAGACCTACAGGATCAGATATTCTGAGTAAAGCCCAACAATCTTTAACAAACCCTTGTGGTGATTTTGATGTACACTCAAGTTTGAGAATCACTGTCCTAGAGTTATTCTTTCATAAAAATCATCTAGAATGCTTGTCAAAAATATATTACCTGGTTAGCTGATTTTCAACAAGGATACCAAGAAAATTCAACAAAGAAAGAACTGTCTTTTCAACTAATCATGCTATAATCGAATAGCCACATGCAAGAATAAAGTTGGATTCCTACCACACTTCATATATAAAAATTACCTCCCATCCAAGTACTAACCAGGCCCGACCATGCTTAGCTTCTGAAATCAGACGAGATTGGGCGCGTTCGGGATGGTATGGCCGTAGGCTAAAAATAAACTCAAAATGGATCACAGACCTAAATTTAAGAGCTAATGCAATATAACTCTTATAAGAAACCATAGGTGTAAATATTCAACATGTGAGATTAAGCACTGGTTTCTTAGTCAAGCAACAAGTAAGCAGACTGGACTGCATCAAATTTTTAAAAATTTATGCTCCAAAGGACACTATCAAGAACGTGAAAAGACAACTCACGCAGAGAAAAGATTTGCAAATTATATATTTGATAAAGGTCTAGTATCAGAATACAGAAAAAATACAACTCAACAACAGAAAGACAAATAACCTAGTGTAAAATATGGGCAAAATATCTGAATAGACGTTTCTGCAAAGAAGATATACAAGTGGCCAATAAGCACATAAAAGATGTAACATCATAAGTTATTAAGGAAAAGCAAAATCAAAACCACAAGATAACCACTTCACACCCACTAGGATGGCTAAAATCAAAAAGACAGAGAATAACAATGTTGACGACAATATTGATTAGAGCACCCTGAGAGAAAGAGAACAGTTAGAAGAGGAAAGGATACAGGACCAAGCCTTGAGGAACTTGGAATTTAACTGCCGAATAGAAGGGAACCAGCCTTTTATAGAAACCAAGAAGCAGCTACCAGAGAAGGAGAAAATCAGTGGGCCATAGAAGGCAGAGGCAGAGAGCACATCAAAGTGGACATGGTCAGTGCTACGCAATGCAGATGAAAGGGTAAGTAAAATGAATGAAATGTTTCTTGGACTTAGTGATATGGAGATCATGGTGTTTCCATACAATGATGGTGGCAAAATTACTAAGAACTTAAGCTTTCTGCACATTATAATGTATAATGTATCACTCAAACATAAAAGGTTTAAAATAAGTACCGTGATTATCTGCAATTAGTCTCAAATCCTCTTGAAAGACGAGTCTGGAAAATAAAAACTGATTAGAAAAAGCAAGCTCGCAGTAAGTTCACAAAATCGCAGTAAGGACTCTTTAAAACCACCTAAAAGGGATTAGACTCCATAAAAAACTGCTCTTCTTTATACAGCAAAGTTAATGATATTCCATACTACTTCCAAAAGCTTACTGATTAAAACAGGTGTTTTGACTCTGCCATAATTGCCATGACTGATGAGATTCAGTGTCTGGCCATGATAATACTATCCAGCACTACATCACGTCTGCGTGATTCAAGAAATACCAACTACAAAACAGGAATAAGGCAGTGAAGTAAATATCCAGATTACCTTCCACCCGAAAGACACCTGTCGCCCGAGATTCAGAAAGAGATTTTATGAGTAAATGAGAAGTGAAAAAAACAAGACCCCTACCAGTCTAACTTAAGTTTAAAGTCATAATGAGATACAGCTCTGAGAAAGCTGGGTAACTGCGAAAGCCTCCTCCCGTATCAAGAATTCACAAATGCAGAAAGTTAGGAAAACCAATGAAGTTAAACTTGACAATAAGGGAAAAAGTCCCTTAAATACTCCTTACAGCCCTGCAGCACCTGAGACAACGACCCTGTCTTCACTTTGGGCAGTGCTACCAGCCTCCTTGTAGTCCAATCCCAGCTGGCAAGTCCCCTTTCAACTGCCAAACCAACCAGCAAACAGCCAGAAAAAGACTAAAACTGAGAAACACGACTCCGCAATAAAAGGAGCTCCGGCCACACTCTACCCCACACGGATCCACCCGCCACCTTACCCAGTAGTCAGGAAATAACAAACCAGTCCAAAGTGAGAGAATCAACACGCCGCTCTCCGGAAGCTGCAGAGACTTCAGATGGAGCTCGCCATGACACATACGTCCCGCCACGTTCATCTACGCATGCTCAGAGACGGTGGCCTGGAGAGGTCAAATTGCATCATTGCTGGAGCGCGAGTTCTGGTTTAATTTAAAGTGGTAATGATTACGCATACATTTCCTTTGATTACAAAAGAACTATATACCCCCCCTAACATCTGAGCTCTTACTATTTGTCAGACATTGGGTTAAGGTAAGCGCTTTACATAAACATTTTCTCTCGACTTATTTTAACTTATTTTACAAAAGAGGAAACTGGGAGTTTAAGTATTTGCCCAGAGTTACTCTAATAATAGTGACTGCCCTCTGTAATGAATCCAGTTCTACTTAACTCCCCAAAAAACTGCCCTTTTCAGTGCATTGTACTATCTTTCTCAAACTTGTGAAAAAGAGGTCATATTAGGGAAGAGAGTAAAAAGGGACAGAGAAAGAACAATTGGTAGATTAAATTTTAGATAGATCATTTAACAACAAGCAAGCTTTTTTGAATGCTTAGAAGGCAATTTACAGAGAAAGAAAACTTTCATGGTATATACTGATTCAGACCTGTCTTACATGTGTTATCTCACTTTATTAGTCTTTATCCAAGACACTGTGTTCTGTTCAACAGAAGAGCATCTCCACTTTAAAAAGTGGAGACCATGGGCCATAAATAGGAAGTCAGAAATCATCAGCTTTATGTCTGACTCTGGGTTTCACCAGTGATTTGGAGCTATGGCCTTATTTCATAAATGTATCTTTTAGTGCAATTCCCTGTAGTTAAAATGCCACGCTTTGCTCATCCATATTCATAAAAGAATCTAAACTGTGACCTAGGGTCCACTGCAGTTCTCACCCCAGTAAATGATAATTGTATGTTTTTGTTGCCCTATCTCTTTCACTAGACCAAAAGTAGACCCTGGGTTATTTTCTTGGTTGTAATCCCACTGCCTAGCACATAATGTACTTAGCCACTCAATAAACATATGAATGAACAAAATGATTCCACTCCTTTTCTCCAAGATCTAGTTAAATTTAGTTAAAGACATTTTAAAGACATTTCATATGACCTCAAACACTGTGCTAGATGCTAGAACTAGAAAGGAAAAAGACCACTCCCACCACTATTTCAGCCTACTTCAAGGAAATAGTTTCAGTAGAGAATTATAATCCCCACGAAAGATGAATGCAGACCTGTGAAGCACAAAGGGAAGTTTCCTCTTCTTTCATGAAGAGGTCAAGACTTCCTACAGAAGAAGTAGGGGAAATGGTATTCCAGGCTGGGAAGACAAAGCAAAATGCACAGAGGCCGGAAAGTATAAACTATTGTACATCATAACAAAAAAGAGTAATATTGGATGATGGTAGAGAAGGATGGAAAGGGAAAATGCAGGGACCAGATTAAAATGAGCCTTGTTTGCTAAAATAGAGACAATAGACCTAATCCTGGGTGATTTAGGAAAATGAAAGTGAGCAGAATGTTCTCTCAGGAGAATGGGTCGAGGACAACACTTCAGACATGAAATAGTAAAAGCTCGAATTGATTTGTTGGCTGTAAAGAATGGGAAATGGGAAAGAAGGACAGAAGAGATACTGAGGGGATACAATAAGCAAGATTTAGTGATAGATAGGTGCCAAAGAAAATGATATGGGTAATGTTTTCAAGTTTTTGGATAAAGCAACTAACACCCAATTCCTCTTTGGTGAAATCTGAGGGTACTTTCAGTCTGAATCATCTGAAAAGCCAATGACACTCTCTCTAGGAATTTATCTTGCAGCAATGCTCACTGTTACACAAAATGACATATGTGCTAGATTATTCTTTGAAACATTGCTTGAAATAGTTAATGGAAACTCTCCTGGGCTCCTCAATAGGAGATTGTTTAAATATATTTATGGAAAAAGAAAGTTGCAACATAGTGTATACCATATATATAAGTATAGATATTGGAAGATAGTATCTCTGGTAGGATATATAAGTAACAGGTAATGGGGTTGTCTCTGGGAAAAGGAACTGAGTTGCTAAAGGAATATTTACTTGTTTCCTGTATACCATTTTGTACCTTTTATTTTTGAACCATGAAAGTATATTATTTATTCAAAAAATAAGTGGATACATTTTATTAATAAAATTCAAAGGACATTTGATTTAAAATTAACTGGTTTTTCTGTTACATTGTAGTATTGAACTTTAATTTTCTCATAAATATTTAAATTTTAAATCTTTTTTATCGTGGTAAGAGGTACTTAAAATTAGCATTTTAATCATTTCTAAATGTACAATTTAGTAGCATTGAGTACATTTATATTTTTTGTACAACCATCACCACCATTCATCTCTAGAACTTTTCATCTCCCAAACTAGAATTCTGTACCCATTAACTAACTCACCTTTCCTTGTTCCTTCCCCAGCCTCTGACAACCACCATTCTAGTTTCCGTCTGTATGAATTTGACTACTCTAGGTACCTCGTATAAATGGAATCATTCAATATTTGTCCTTTTCAAAATGGCTTATTTCACTTAGCATAGTGTCTTTGAGGTTCATCCATGTTGTAGCTTGTCAGAATTTCCTTCCTTTTTAAGGCTGAATAATATCCCATTGTATGTTTATACACATTTTGTTTATAATTGTTATCTTTTATTCTTTGTCTCTCAAATTAGATTGTACACTTCACAAGAATAGACGCTCCATCTCGTTATTGTTTTTTCAGCCTACGATACATATTTGGTGGTAAACAAACCAATTGGTATATCCAAGGACACTAAAAATGCAAATGAATCTGTAAAATAATTGTAAAAGCTAATGTTTTTTTGAGAACTTATGTGTGTCAGTAACCACATTAAGCCCTCTATGTGAATTATCAAATTTTTTCATCACAATAACTCTCTAAGTAATCTGATAAATTAGAAGTACTGTTATTACCTTATTATCTTCTTACAGAAGAGAAAACTGAAGCTTACACAGTCTGACCTCAGTTTTTTTAAAGAACTCTATATGAATACTTCAGAAGAAAGAAACTATACTTTTGTTTAAGTGCAAAAATTCAATTAGGAAAAAAATTAGAGATAAATAAAAAGAATGATAAGAGAAATGCATAATAAAATGTATAAGCCTTTGGAATGATTGATTCAATTTTTTATGTTAATCCTTACAATGAAAACTGAAGAGAAATGTAGGCAATAATGAAGTTAGAAACTGCTTACTGTCCAGCCACTAATCAAGCAAGCATAAAATATGAAAATTGTAAAACTTTAGGAACACATATGTTAGATTTTGCTTATGATCGAAGCAATTAGCCAGTGTGCTTATGAATTTGTACCAACCAATATCTTTTTTATGAGAAATAAATTATGCACTTAATTCATTCTTTATAATGATACATGGAATTTTCTGTGTAGACTATTAGAGAAGTTTAATAGGATGAAATTTAAAATGAATTAATCTCATATAAGAGATAAGAAAAATATAAGTAATATGTGTTCTCAATTTTTAAAGTTCAACAGGTCAACATGTATTATGCAAATATATTATTATTTATGTTAGCTTCCCATTGCATGTGACAGAAAGCTAACTATATTTTCTCAAGCAAAAAGGGTAAGGGGGCACATAATAATTGAAGCTAGACCCAGAAATTTTGATTGGATGTGATAAATTGTCAGAGTTAATTCCCTAGCTGGACGCCGTATAACTAAAGCAGTTTTTTAGGAAGATGTTTAAGATGTTGATTTTCATAAAGGATTGAAGATAAGGAAATAAGTTAGGATACTATCACATTAGTCTAAATATAAAGCCAAGAAGAAAGATGATGACTGTAGAGATAGGGAAAAAAGAAGGGATATGAGAACTATGTCAAAAGAAAATTTGCCCAGACTGGGTGAAAGCTTCAGTGTAGAAGATATTAGTGAAGGACACATATATTCTTTAATAACTTTAAAAAAAGATCATGTAAAAAGGTAATATGAATTAAATTAATAGGCTGTTGCCTTTGGAGTAATGCTGAATTTTTCTCCAAGGAATCTAACCACTAGGGGTCAGAGTGCTATACTTCTAATATCGGCCTATTCAATTCTGTCTATTCAAAGTTTACACAAATTGGCTTGGCTCAATTCTATAATTAATTTCATCTCTTCCTTCTCCCACTCTCAGTATAAATGGTTTGAAGACTGTGTCTATGGCCCAAGCCAAAGCAATGAGAGCACCACATTTCTTTACCACAGCATAGGTAGCCCATGCTGGACCAAAGTGAATTCTGGGCTCTCACTCTATTCAGAGAATCTATGCTGGAGCTTCCAGTATAGCTACCATGTGTAGAACACCCGCCCAAGACCCATGCCATTTCAGAAGAAAGTACAGTTGAGCAATGAGGGGAGAAATCAAGTTCTGAAGATAACTGTAAGCCCCCTACATCCAGCATGTCTGGAGCTAGGTTTACTTCTGAGTTGTTCAGTTTTGTAAACAACTAAATGTCCCCCCAACACATGCCATCTTTTTAGCCGTTAGGCTATTATGAGTAGGTTTCATTCACTTGCAACCAAAATAGCTAAGCTTATTTTTACATCTCTTCTTGACTTATAAACAAATAATTTGCATCTGTTGTCTAATTCCCTGATTGCTTATAAGTATCTGTGGGAAAGAGACATATTTTGTCTGCCCTTCAGTAACATATGACTCAATAAATAATAAATTTATTAAGTCATATATTTGTTGAGTGTATAGTATACCAAAGACTGTATTAATGCTCAGGGGGAAAAAAAAATAAAACAGACCAAGATCTCTGCCCTCTTAAGAGTTTATATGCCAGCAGATACAGATAGGCAATGTACAATAAATAAGATATAAATAAAAATTATACTTTGTGTTCAAAGGTGATAAAAATGGCCAACATTTTGCAACAGATTAAAGAGAACCAAGAATGAAGGCTTGCAATTTGTGAAGAAGGTGGTCAGAGTAGGCACACTGAGAAAAATATCTTTAAGCAAAGGCTTGAAAAAGATGAGGAGGTTAGCCGAGGGATGTGTGGGGGAAGAAAGAGGAAATTCAAGGGAAGGGGAACAACTAGTGAAAAGACTGTAAGCAAGGAGCCTACCTGGCATGTTCAAGAGATAGCAGGAAGATCAGAGTGGTTGGAATGGAGTGAATGAGCGAGTGATAAGAAAGGAGGTCAGAGAGTGAACAAAACCAGATCGTCTGTGGCCCCTGGGCCATAGTCAG